CGGGGAGCTAGTCTGGACGCTCCCGCGCTGACATCAAAGCCCTTTGTCGGCAGCCCCGTTATTCCTCATGGGATGAGGTTTACCGGGGCTGCCAACAAAGGGCTTTGATGTTGGCAGGGGAGCATCCAGACTAGCGCGCTGAGTGGACAAACAGCTGATCAGCTGTTTGTCGGCTCAGCGCAGCAGCCATGTAAATTTAAATGAAGCTGCAATCATTTAAATCGCGGCTTCATTTGCCTTTGCCAAAAAAACAAATCTACATGGCTCCGTCGACGGTGCCATGTAGTCTAGACATACCCTTTAAGAGTATCCACCTCCCCCTAGCTTAGTGCCATCCATGAACTTGTTGAGGATTCAATCCATCCTTTCATCCAGATCGTTAATTAAGACGTTGAACAAAACTGGCAACAGGACTGACCCATGGGGCACTCTACTTTATACCAGCTGCCAACTAAGCCATTGATCATTACCCTTTAGCCCAATGATGTAACTTTTTATCCATCTTATAGTCCATTAATCGAAGCCATACTTCCTTAACTTGCTGGCAAGAATACTGTGGGAAACCATATCAAAAGCTTTGCTTAAAGTCAAGGTATATCACATCCAGCGCCTTCCCCAAATCCACAGAGCCAATTATCTCGTCATAGAAGGCAGTCAGGTTGGTAAGGCATGACTTGCCTTCGGTGAGTCCATATTGACTGTTCCTGATCACCTTCCTTGCCTCCAAATGTTTCGGAATGGATTTCTTGAGCACCTCCTCCATGATTTTTCCAGGGACCAAGCTGAGACTAACTGGTCTGTTGTTCTCCAGATGGGCACTAATATTTGCCTTTTTTCCAGTCATCAGGGATCGCCCCGATTGCCATGAGATTTCAGAGATAATGGCCAATGGCTCTGCAGTCAGAGTCAACTCTGAGTCAACTCTCTGTGTCCTCCCAGGCATGAAATCCACCATGTCCAACTTTTCTAAGCAGTCCTTAACCTGTTCTCTCACTACCTAGAGCTACTTACCTCCTCCCCGTACAGTGCTATCCAGAGCTGCAGTATGGGAGCTGACTTTGTCTGTGAAGACGAAGGCAAAAAAAGCTTTGAGTGCTTCTGCTTTTTCCAAATCATCTGTCACTAGGAAGCTTTCCCATTCAGTAAGTGTCCCACACCTTCCCTGACCTTTCTTTTGATGCTAACCTACCTGCTAAAACCTTTGTTATCCTTCACTTCCCTCGCTAGCTGCAACTCCAGTTGTGCTTTGGCCTTCCTTATTATACCCCCTGCATGCTTGAACAACACTTTGTATTCCTCCCTGGTCATCAATCCAGGTTTCCATTTCTTGTAAGCTTCCTTTTTCTGTTCACTGAAGATTTCTCAGTTAAGCCAAGCAGGTTGCCTGCCATTTTTGCTATTTTTTCTGTACATTGAGATGTTTTGTTCCAATGCCTTCAATATGACTTCTTTAAAACAAATCCAGCTCTCTTGGACTCGTTCCCCCTCATACTAGCCTCCCATCAGTTTTCACAGGGAATCAAAGTCTGTTTTTCTGAAGTCGAGGGTCTATATTCTGTTTCTCTCCTTTCTTTCCTTTGCTAGGATCCTAAACTCAACCATCTCATGGTCTCTGCTGCCCATGTCATCTACCTCTACTTCCCCCACCAAATTCTTCCCTGTTTGTGAGTAGCAGGTCAAGAGGAGAATGACGTTTATTTGGTTCCTCTAGCACAGTGTTTCTCAAACTCTGCTCCACGGAGCCCCAGGGCTCCGCAAGACATCTCCAGAAGCTCCGCCTGGTTGACAAACTGGAAAGCCTTCAAAAGCAGAATTGATAATCGCCTCGAACTGACGCAATTAACACACACCGCTGGGGCTCTGCAAAAAGTTTGAGAACTGCTGCTCTAGCACTTGCACCAGGAGATTTTCCTCAACACTCTCCCAAAAATTCCTAGATTGTCAGTGCACAGCTGCACTGCTCTCCCAGCAGATGTCAGGGTGATTGAAGTCCCCCATGAGATCCAGGGCCTGTGGTCTGGAAATTTCTGCTAGTTGTCTGAAGAAAGCCTCATCTACCTCATCCTTAAAAGTTAGACTTTTAACAGGCTTTTTTCCAGTTTCATACTGGAGCTCTTAGCAGTCATACTGTTCTCTTACATACAGTATAACTCCTACATCTTTTCTCCCGTGCCGGCCTTTCCTAGACACTTTATATCCTACATGACAGTGCTTCAGTCATGCAAGTTATCCCACCCAGCCATGTGAGTTACCCCCAATCACTCCTTTGATTCCTTGTCCTTTTAGGCCCCAATTCATAATCTGAGGGAATGTCTGTACTGCAGTGGAAGTGGGGTTGGGAAACAAGTATGGGTGAGTTTGCACACATCACGCGAGAGATGTGTGTGTGTGTGTGTGTGTGTACACATCTGTTTCACACGATTACAATGTAGAGAAACCCTTAGGTTGTAAGATCTTTAAGGCAAAAACTTCTCCTCCCATTTGTACAGCACCTAACAGTGTGGAGCCATCATCCTGTTTGGGAGTGATAGACACGACCTGAATGCAGATGAAACAGAATAATAATTGTATAACATCTATGTAACCCTCCTGAATCTCTTTATATATCAAACCTTAAAGCTTCGAATTTTGGGTTTCTTACAGAACAGTTTCCTACAGATGTTATGAAACTGCACAATAATCTTTACCACTGAACTTTCTCAGAACATTGTATGAAGAATATTTGTATTCTGATTGGGGATATTTTATATGGCAACTGTGCGTGTGTGTGTGTGGTGTGTATGTGGGTGCATGCGTTTTTGGAGCGTGGGTGTTCAGGTTAATCTAATAACTAGATGAATTATGCTAATAACAACATGTATCCAAACGAACTTCGATGCCTGTGTGTAATTAGCCCTGAAAGTAAATATATGAAAGACTTGTGAGAAATGAGAGACGGAGAATGAAGTGGTGTGACTTGAAATAAGTAGATGTAGGTACTAAAGCAAATAACTTTCCATTCTTAAAAGAAGTGAATGCACCCACACTACACTGAAGGGACCTGATTCTCATTTACACATAGGCCTCTAATACCACTCTGACAGTGTAAAGAGATATTAAAGTAGGAATAAATTAGAATTACACCCACTCTAATGGCCTTTTACACTGCCAGAACCGTGTATGGAGACCTTAGGGCCTGTCTACATGGAGAATTAATGGGAAAGTTAGTACAAAATAGTTAGGGCATGAATTTAAAGGGCAATAGCTATTTCCCACTAATTCCTTACTTTTTTGCCATTTAGGTTAATCTGCTTCTAGAGGGGATTAACCTCAACTGCCCAAAGGTACTTTTAATTCAGAATAAGTGTCCATATAGGGAGTTAATGTGGAGTAGCCGTTCCTCACTAACTGTTCTGAACTAGCTACGCCAGACTTTTTCCCTGAGTAGACAAACTCTTAGTGTAAATGGGAATCAGACTTTTAAGAAGCTAAATAATAGTCCAATGTGTGAGGAATGTGGGTATGTACATGGAGAGAGAGAGAGAGAGACTCTCTCTCTCTCTCTCTCTCTCTCTCTCTCTCTCTCACACACACACACACACACACACACACACACACACACACACACACACACT